TTTACACACCTCACTTGATAGAACATGGCGAAGTTTATAAATGTGTATGGCTTCACTAATTTGCCATTTTACAGTCAGAGAAATGAAAGTTTTTAATTGACCTTGTCCCAAACAAGTCCCACACTTTATTCGGCCGTTGCTATTACAAACCTCACAACCGCAATCGAAAAAGATTTTTAAAAGCTCTTTTTCTTTGAAAGGAATGGAAATGTTGATACCGTAACAAGATTTATCCACCTCTCTTTAAAATCTACAAGAGCTGTGTCTGACTGATTTTGTTGTAGATACAGTTAAACCTCTCCACAACGGCCACCTTGAGGACAGAAGAAAGTGGCCGTTGTGAAGAAGTGGCCATTGTAGAGAGGTTAAATGAATGTATGGACAGCCCGACAGGACCAAAAAAGTGGCCGTTGTGGAAAGGCGGCCATGGAGAGAGGTGGCAGTTTGCTCAGGTTCGACTGTATTGTGAAAACCAAACAAACAAACAAACACGCCAAACCAATGAAAACCAGACAGTTGTACACTCACGTTTTCCAACCTCTGCCCATGCAGTTAATAGACTGCACATACTTTTGCATTCCCTCCACGAGACCAGAACCATTACACCTGAAAAACGAAAAGCATAACTAAATAAATCAATAAATCAACTATCTTCGGATTTAAAGAAGAAACGAATCCCATATCTTCAGATTTCACGACGAATCAAATCGCCTATCTTCGGATTTCACGGCTAATCAAATTCCAGATCTTCGGATTTCAAAAGAAATCGAGTCCCAAATCTTCCGTCGGATTTTAAAAGAAATCGAGTCCGAGATCTTCAGATTTCATGAGGTCTCCCTGATCTTTGGGTTTCGGATGGTCATTGGAACGCGAAATCTAAGAATTTCCATTTCCAAGATCTACAATTCGATTCTTTGAGCGGTACTCGGAGGTTTTTGTTTCCTTCATGTCCGTGAGCAAACAAATAACATCGTTCTTCATTAAAATGAATATGAAACTAAAGATTTTGACATTAACGTACCCTTGCAGATCCACAACACTTGTAACAGCGCTTGTACCCCCAGCCATGCAATCATGACACGGCTGGAAAGAAAAATGAAATGAAACAACATGAATACGAAATCAGAATAAAACGAAACTCATTTAATAACACATTGTCCATGCTGAATAAACTGACAGTTACGGAACTCTCCCATAATTGACCCTGGGGGCATGTTAGCCCAAAGAGTTAAATTCATCTGATGGATGGGACTTCATCTGATGGGACTTGAAGTTCTGCCGTCAAGCATCGCTAGAGGCCCCCTATTTCTCGCATTGCTGACCAAGCATGTGATCAAGATGGCTGGGTATTGGTCAAGTTCGTTTGGTGTTTTCATGCATAGCCCGCTTAAAACGTGTAATATTTTGCCTTTTTTTCCCTTCCTTTTTAACGCAAATCATCCCAATTCAATTCATCTTCATCTCTGGAGGAGAGGGGGGGAGGGTGAGGCTAGCTATACAGTAAGTTGTGTTCTTAGCTTTTGCACCCTAAGATCACAACCGGANACTTATTAACGAGAACATCGTGGAAAGGAGAGATTTTTTCGGGCAGTAACCGAAGGGGTTTGGAAAGAGTTTAATCTTTCAAATGCTGCCTAGAGTGTTGAAATTCTTGAGCTAAGAAGGCCACGGATTCTCTTCTAGTCCCTTGGTCATTGTCATTTCACCTCTTCTGTCGATTGTTGAAGACCAAGTTAAATACCTTTGATCATTGGGAATCGATCCGATGCTGCTTTCAATGTGGAAAACAAAACCAAAGACCAAGAAATAATGGTGGAAAGGGCGGGTTAGCTTTATTGCAAATGTCAGCTTAATAGTACAGGGTCATCTACTCACATCTAAGAAGCAAAAGTTTCCACGCTTTGCTTTTCTTTTTTTTCAATTGAAGATGAGATTAGATTTTGGCACGCACAGAAAGTTGCGCAAGTATCAGTTGCTCGACTGCGACCGTTTGGAACTAGTCTTGTAAGACAATGTCCCCAGGGGCTTTTCATGCCCTAACTTGAAATCGACCCACAACCGCTGGGTCTCCGAGGATGCAATAGACTCTTCGTCTCACATAAACATAGCGCGCTTTTCGAATGAGTTTTCAAACCAAAAGCAAAGTAATCATAACAGCCAATCAGAATGAAGGAAATATCACAAGGAGCCAACCAGAACCTGAGATAAAAACAACAAATTTGTCTAAAGCGCGGGAAAACGCAAGTGACCAGATTTGTAAATGCAACAGCAAAGTTAGCAAAAAGGAAATGTGAGAAAGAGCTTTGGGGAGATTGAGGCACAAGAAAACAACCTGAATCGTGAGCCAACGAGAAATCAAAGTAAAAACAGGCAAACCGCCTAAAGCGCGGGAAAATGCAGACGAACAGGTCGTGACTGGTTTTAGTTTTGCATCCGATTGGTTGAGTAGTGCGAGCTTTTTTTTGTATCAATCACAGAGAAGAGTAAAGCAAAACGATCCTGGATTACTCATGATTTTATTTCTTTCGCCTTCTCGTTCTCTGTGATTCTCATTAAGGTGTGGCCCATCAAGACCTTTTTTGACCAGCAAGTAAACATGGGCTCGAAGAGGCTGGTAGACGAACGCAGCACCAAGTGGCCGGCCAAGAGCATTCTTATGCAGGTAGATAGATCTTTAATCATAAAATTTATTAAATCAGGTGTCGCTGAGACTTCAAATCGACATCATTTGTAACTTGTTTACCACAATTTATTCCGAAACTCAGCCAGTTTTTTACGAAGCCAAAAAAAATACCTTCTTCTCTACTCCAAAACATGTGCTTTTTCAGCCGGGTTACAAGTTTCTCATTTCACACCTTATGTAATATCAAAGTAAATGTCCAATCCATAAAAAGAGAACAAAAACAAAAAAGAAACTATAGTTCTGCGGCGGTAACATCAGGTCACATCAGTAACTCTAATCCGCCATCTTTGGGTTAACAAATAGTAACACATCTCAGCAAAATAAATGGCAAATACACGTGGAATACGCTTACAACAGTAATAACAGTAGAGAATTATTTAAAGGAGAGATTCTTGCTGCCGTCCACTCTGGTTTGTACAATTTTTCTTAGCGTCCCAACATTCGCGCCCCACTAATTAGCTATGGACATGTCTTTGTTTTCAGCGCCAACAGCTACGAGCAGTAGCCGTGTCTGAGGTTGCCTACCAGTGGAAGGAGCAATCAAGTCGCCTCTGGGTCTACGGTCATGATCACAAAGTGTATGCTCCAGACTACCCCCAGAAGTGCTGCTGCGGCTGCAGTATTTTGTAGAGCTGCTCTCCGAATGAGCAGTCAGTAACCTCGAACTACGTGATACTTTCGGAACATGAAGTTATAAAAGAAACAAAGTTTAGGGCATGGCCGCGTTATACAAAAAAAAAAACAAAAAAAAACTGGCCATTATTTATCTCTGGGAAGGATTTTCGTTTTCACGAAACAGTCGGAAGCGCATTTAGCATTAGCGTGTTGCGTTACAAACTCTCAAGGGTGCGCTGAAAGAACTTCCGGTTGGCTTGGATCTCTCAGGGGTGAAACACTACTTCCGGCTTGTAAATAAAGCTATTTATATACT